TATACTCTTGGATCCTATTAATCATCCTAAATTCTGGATATGTGGTAATATTCTTCTAACCCACTAAAAAGAACCATTAAAGTATAAATTCACATAGCTAAAAAAGAAATCTATACAGCATGTATAGTTTTATACAAATAAATACTGGTACATAGCTGGCAACATTAAATATATTATTCATGTGGTATTACCAAAGGAAATATTGGCACTGTATCTTCCTGCATTTATGTAACCAAAAATCAATCCAGAGTGTAAAATTTTAATAGATTTTTTTTATACAGCACGTGGCGACAAAGTAAATTTACCATAAAATGCTTATAAAAGCAAGTGGCAAAATATGAGTTAAAATGAATTCCCACTCAGATAGTAGCCTGGTATTTACAGACAGATATTTTTATATAAACTGGAGTAAAGCACACAGCAGAATAATAGATTGGGAGGCATTTTAGGGGGCACCTGGGTGGCTCAATTGGTTGAGCGTCCAACTCTTGATATAGGCTCAGGTTGTGATCTCACAGTTTTTGGATCAAGCCCCATATCAGGCTCTGCTGAGCATGGAGCCTGCTTGGAATATTCATTCTCCCTCTCTCTCCCTCTCTCTCTTCTCTCCCTCTCTCTCTCCCTCTCCCTCTCTCTCTCTCCCTCTCCCTCTCTCTCTCTCCCTCTCTCTCTCTCTCTCTCTCTCTCTCCCTCGCCCCCCACTCCCTCTCCCTGCTTAAATAAATAAACATTAAATTAAAAAAATTCCAGTGTCCTGCACAGATAACACAGTTAAAACAATTATTTCACTAATTGTTAGCACAGAATAAGCAACAAGAAAGAATTGAAAGACTCCTCTGTTTTGGAATCCATCTTTTTATTCATCATTTGTAAGGACTACAGTAAAAACCAGTTCATTGAATAATTATCACTCTGCAACCTTAGTTATGTGCTCTTCTTTGAAGTTTGTATGACTGATACTAAATCGATGCCTCTTGTTTTTAATCTGTAAGTTATCAGAGTAATAAATTTACATTTCGAATATTGGGAAATCCACCTCTACCCCTGGTAAACTGAGATTCTGTGGCATGTTGTGTCTGAAACGGGGGGAAAAAAAAGATGTGAAGATCTTACTCTTGCAATAATGTTTTATGTTCTCCTCTATCACTGGAGTGTGGTAACGTCTTCATAGCTACCTCTGACTCGTTAACTGTGTACCTCTCTCACCTTTGCTAACAGTTTAGCTTTTGCCCATATTGCTGGTATTTTATTTTATTTTATTTTATTTTATTTTATTTTATTTTATTTTATTTTCTCTTCTCTTCTCTTCTCTTCTCTTCTCTTCTCTTCTCTTCTCTTCTCTTCTCTTCTCTTCTCATTTTTAAAGTTTATTTATTTTTGAGAGGGAGACAGAGCATGAGTGGGGAAGGGGCAGATAGAGGGAGACACAGAATCAGAAGCAGGCTCCAGGCTCTGAGCTGTCAGCAAAGAGCCTGACGCGGGGCTTGAACTCACAGACCGCGAGATCATGACCTGAGCCGAAGTCAGAAGCTTAACCAATTGAGCCACCCAGGCTCCCCTATTGCTGATATTTTAAACACAAGATACTTTTTGGACATTTGGGGTAAGGTTTTCCATTTTTCATTAATTATGTTATAATACTGTGACAACTTCCTATTGAAAATCCCTTCCAGTTCTAAACTGTCATATGACAAGTGTATTTGTAGAATGAAACCTGTTCATAATTTGGGAATTTCAGTATTCCCTTAATGCTGCCTATCTTTAATTTATTAGCCAATTTCCAAAAAATCTTACTAGGAGACTCAGTTTATTATTGATATTTAGGAAAATACTTATATAGCAGGCTTGTTAGTTTTGACCTTAGGAAAATTTAGAAGGGCTATTCCTTAATATCAAAGAAAAATAGTACTTACTCATCAAAGTTCTTATGAACTGAAATGTTTTAAGTAATTTTCTTTTCCTTTTATATTCTCAGGCTTTCAAACAGATTTAAAAGTGTTTGGGTTTATTATCTCTCCTCCCCGCCCCGCCTTGACATCAGACAAGAAAGAAAAAAAAAAAAAAAGAAATCTTTTGGTTAAGATGTATCTAAATTCAGAGATAACAAATAGGTTTCATCTTTTCTGCCAATTTAGAGTGCTTGGTGTCCTGAAACACTGTCATGAGAAGCGTTATGAGCTAAGTTCAGGAACATTGGGAGAGACTGCCAGGATTCTTTGTCCACCAAGAGTGACTAAGGAGGAAGTGCTGTAAATTTGCCAAGAAGTCATTCTTTCTTTTGCTTTAACTTTCAACATTAGGGTTTTGTTTTGGCTAGCCACTGTCAGTTAAAATAAATTTGTGAATAAACTGGCATTAAATGGGTGTTGTGTTAGTTTTTTTAATCACTTTTTGTCTTTGAATTGCTGTCTTTTACAATATTTGACTCCCCTTACACTTTGTTTTCTTGAAAGCTTAAGATTTGAAAAGAAGCCACAAGAACTGTACGGTTCCTTACACATAAGAGTGATGGAAGAAATGAGGTTTGAGGGGAGTTTATTTAGGAAAAGTAGTGTATGACTTACATTAGGAGTAGTAGCTGAGGAGGTTTTTGGAGTAGCCCAGTGGTGATATGGTACATGGGCATTTGGTGCTGTGGTAGCTTCAGGAATGAATGATTTGTAAAACCAAGAGATTTTGCCAGATAGGAAGGGGGTGAATCTTGTAGAGGAGTGAGAGTTCGAAAGTGGCTCTGCAGGTTAACTAGCCTTGCCTCTTAGAAAAGGGAGGACATTTTTATAGTTCAGGAATGATCCTCAAGTGGTTATACTTTACCTCTTGAGGTTCTTTCCTGAACTTGAGCTAGAACTAGACCTGCAGCCAACATTAATCCAGATAATTATACTTTTTAAAAAAGTATCTTTACATCATATACTGATTCCGTCAATATTAGGTACTATAAAATACCTTCTTTCTGAAAGAGAAATAATTGGATAATACTTTATGACAGTGATTGGCCTGAGTGGCTTATTTTGGACCATATAAAATAAAAGTTAGTAAAATACCATTGCTGTCCTTGGTCTTAATTATAATGGTGTAATTAAGAACTCATTTCTGGGACACCTAGGTGGCTCAGTTGGTTCAGTTGGTTAAGCATCTGACTTCGGCTCAGGTCATGATCTCGTGGTTTGTGAGTTCGAGCCCCGCATCAGACTGTCTGCTGTCAACACAGAGCCTGCTTCAGATCCTCTGTCCCTTTCTTCCTCTGTCCCTCCCCTGTGTGCTCGCTCTCTCTCTCAGAAAGAAAGAGACATTAAAAAATAATAATAATAAATAAAAGAATTAACTCATTTCTAACCCTACCACGGTTAGATGTATTCTCTTTTATTATTGACATTATGCTGTTTTTTTACCCCATTAGTAGACTTTGTGAAAGTTCACTTAATAGCCACTTAAAATTTTTAGTAATGAGTATGTATATCCTGACTGGAGGTGGGGCTGTGGTCAGTGACTGCTGCTTTGTTGAAAAAGAATTTTGTGGAGGATTATTACATATTTTGATTACAGAATATACCAGGTGCCATATACCTGCTTTAATATTTAAGGAATGTTAAAATGTTGTCATTTCTATCAGACTTTTTGTTTTTATTTTTATTGTGTTTTTTAAGTTTTTTATTTCTTAAAGTAATCTCTACATCCAATATGGGGCTTGAACTCATGACACCAAGATCAAGAATGGCATGCTCTTCCAAGTGAGCCAGCCAGGTGTCCCAGACTTTTGTTTTTATTTTATTATTATTTTAAATGTTTATTTATTTGGAGGACGAGAGAGAGAGAGAGAGAGAGAGAGAGAGAGAGAGAGAAAGAGAAAGAATCCCAAGCAGGTTCCATGCCCAGCACAGAGGCCATTGTGGGGCTCAGTCTCACCACCGTGAGATAATGACCTGAGCAGAAATCAAGAGTTGGACACTTAACCAACTGAGCCACCCAGGTACGGGTACCCCTTGACTTTTTTATTTTTTAATTTTTTTAAATGTTTATTGGGGGGGGGGGGGGCGGTGCAGAGAGACACAGAATCCAAAGCAGGCTCCAGGCTCTATGCTACCAGCACAGAGCCCAATGTGGGGCTCGAACCCACAAACCGTGAGATCATGACCTGAACCGAAGTCAGGCACTTAACTGACTGAGGCACCCGTGTTTTTAAAGAAGAATCAATTATTACATTATAGGTCAAGCTAAAATCTGACTTCTCCATTCCCCTTCTCAGGACCTTAATCCTCAATTGTTGAGTGTCAGTTCTATGCATGTTTTTATACTTACTGTTTATGTATTGGCAACAGTTCTTATTTTATGTTTATTCTTTTTTAGTTTTCTTACAGTTTTTCCATTCCATATTGTTGAGATTTAGTCATGTTGATAGATACAATAATTAATAAAAATAAACAGTATTTCATTAAATTCTTTTACTATTCTAAAGATCTTTTGTGTATGGCATTAGCATTTGTTGGTGTTGTGAATAGTGCTTTTTAAAAAAAATGAGTATTTTCTACATGTCGGCACATAGCAGCCCTTCAAGTTTTTGTATCATGATCTGAACAGTTTTAATTGTTACATTCTAAGAATTCTTAGCTTTAATAATATGCGGTGTCTTTTGGATTTGCTGTGTAGATAATCTTTATTGTTTATATGTCTTATGTTAAAGTAGAAAATACTTCGCTGTCTCCTGAGAAATCTCCTGAGAATATTTCTCTCTCTTCTCTGAAATTTATGCAGGATCAGGATACTAGAAGACAGTTGCAACTAGTTAATTTGGGAAATATCTATATGTGAAGTGCCCTCCATGTGTGTCCTCTGACACACACACACACACACACACACACAAACACACACAGAGAGTCTTGGTTTTTCTTGGTACTAGAGTCAGTTGGTATACGGGCATTTAGATGTTAAAACCCTCCCTGTCCCATTTGCTGTAAATCTTACTGCTACTTTTGGATTTCACTCAGTTTCTTTCCTTTTAGGAGGCGCAGGTCAGAGTGGAGATGGGCTGCAGACCGAGCAGCTATTGTCAGCCGCTGGAACTGGCTTCAGGCTCATGTTTCTGACTTGGAATATCGAATTCGGCAGCAAACAGATATTTATAAGCAGATACGTGCTAATAAGGTAAGAGATAAATGTCTGGTCTTTTTCAGACCAGTTAAAAACTACCATTATCCCTTTTTTCCCATCCCTCAATAACTCTTAGCTGTGTCAAAGAGCATGGTTTAATGTGATCTGCTGTAGTGGTTTAATTTGTTTAAGGGCCTGATGTTGTTTAGTATAGCGCAGACAACACTGTTAGTTAATGTTAAATTGAACATGTGTTTAGAACAAAACAGTTCCTATATTTGGGCTAATAGGAAACATAAGAAAAAGACACTATATAATGTAAGCCATTGATGTAACTCATATTTGTTATATTTATGGAAAAGCGATGATGACCTAGGATTTCATCTTGGTTTTTTACTTTGATGCACTTCTGTTTTACCACTAAGCTTCCCTTGCTTTCTTGAGGAAAAATAGGGTTTTTTGTGAAAGATTGTTCCAGGGAAATTAGACATTGGTGTTTGAGATTTTGGTTTTTTGTGTCCTCCTATCTGCAGAGTCCTGATTCTTACCATAGAACTTTTCTCTTTGATAGTGACAGTGTGGTAGTTTTTCTTCTTAAAAATCAACTTAGAAAAAAGTCCCTTACTCAGTTTGGGTTTGACTGAGGGATAAATGTGCATGGAAAAGCCATCCGTTTAGCACACAGGTGAGTGCCTACTGTGTACGAGGCACTGATCTCATTACAGGGGGTCACAGGGATAAATAAAAATCCTCCTTTCATGGATTTTACATTCTTACAAGATTTTGGTTTTTCTGTGTCCTCCTATCTGCAGAGTCCTGATTCTTCTCATAGAACTTTTATCTTGGATAGTGACACTGGTAGTTTTGTGGTAGTTGAGCCAGTCTCCATGACTGGACTCTGGTCTAAATGTAGAGTTGACTGTTCCTAAAATAAGTGTCGCAACACTTTTTTTCCCACCTTGGTGCTGGTCAAAACCTCCAGAGAACTGCTGTACTGTGGACTGTATGCATTAAATTAACTAGTAGGCCAAAAGTTAAAGAGTAACCAGCTGACAAGGTACAGTGATGAGTTTGAAGTAAAAGTCTGCGGCCTCCCACACACGTCATCTAAGTTTGTATTCCAGAAATCCCCCTGGAGTGCTCTTCTTGTTGCTTTTTGGGGGGAAACATTTTAAGGACTACATTCTGTTACCTTATTTTGGTGGCGGTTTTAATTACGCCTGTTATTAAAATTATAGGAGCACCTGGGTGGCTCAGTCGGTTGAGCGTCTGACTTCAGCTCAGGTCATGATCTCACGGTCTGTGGGTTCGAGCCCCACGTTGGGCTCTGTGCTGACAACTCGGAGCCTGGAGCCTGCTTCAGATTCTGTCTCCCTCTCTCTCTGCCCCTCCCCCACTCATGCGAGAGCGCGCGCGTGCACGCGCTCTCTCTCTCTCTCTCTCTCTCTCTCTCTGTCAAAAATAAATAAACATTAAAAAAATTTTTTTTTAATTATATTATAAAGCATACCATAATAAATATTTTTAGCTAAATCACATCATGGGTACTTTTATGTTCAGTTTTAGGAAACTTTCAAAAGTGTTAGGTATTTCTAAATATCTGGAAAGTATTCTGGGGTTTTGTACATATATTGACTATCCAAAAGTTTCATTATTCAGAATATAATGTATTAAAGAAATGCCAGGCTTGGACTTGATAATCTTTGGTTCTCGTGCTCTCTGCTACCATATAGCTATATGAGGTTGGGAAGAAAAGCCACTGAACCTTTCTGATCCTCAGTTTTCATGGTCTGTAAAATAAGGCATTCATGATTATATTTTCTTGCTCTGCAGTCTGAATACACAATGCTACAAAATTGTGACAGGAAGAGTAAAAGTTGAATGATGATCCTAATAAATAATATGTCCTAATAAGTAATATTTCAAGAAAATTGACAACTTTATTAAATATCTTTATTTATACAATGTCTGTTTAAAACAAATGTATTAGTTTCTTGGGACTGCTGTAGAAAAGCACAAATCGAGCAGTAAACTTAAAACAACACAAATGTATTTTCTCACAGTTTTGCAGGCTAGAATTCTGAGATCAAGGCGTCAGGAAGGCCATGCTCCCTCTGAAGAGTCTAAGGAAGGAGCCTTCCTTGCCTCTTCCTAAGCTTCTGGTGATTGCTGGCGTTTCTTGGTGTTCCTGCATTCATAGCTGCGTCATTCCACTTTCCTCCTCTGTCCTCACGTGGCTGTCTTCTCTCTGTGTGTCTGTATCCACACTTCCCTTTTAAAAGAACACCAGTTGGGGCGCCTGGGTGGCGCAGTCGGTTAAGCGTCCGACTTCAGCCAGGTCACGATCTCGCGGTCCGTGAGTTCGAGCCCCGCGTCGGGCTCTGGGCTGATGGCTCAGAGCCTGGAGCCTGTTTCCGATTCTGTGTCTCCCTCTCTCTCTGCCCCTCTCCCGTTCATGGTCTGTCTCTCTCTGTCCCAAAAATAAATAAACGTTGAAAAAAAAAATTAAAAAAAAAAAAAAAAAAAGAACACCAGTCATACTGGGATTTAGGGCCCACACTAAAGGGTTCATTTTAACCCAATTATATCTACAAAGACCCTATTTCCAAATAAGGACACATTTTTAGGTTCTGGGTTATATAAATTTTGGGGGGCTACTGTTCAAGCCTATATGACATATAAGCAATGAAATTTACCCCGAAGATAAAGTAACAGGCATTTAGTCTTCATATCACTATAATAATAGAAGTTGTTGGGCATTTACTATGTGCCAGGCACTGTGCTAAGCATTTTACTGTTACTTACAAATTTAAAGGTATACCAGTGGAGGGTCAGAGAGGTTAGCAGTTTGTTCATAGTCAAGTGAACATGTAATCACAGAGCTGAGATGTGAGCATCTGTTGCTCAAGTTGGCAGTTGCTTCAAGTGCTCGGCTACTTTTTGAGTTATTAAAATGGGAGGTTTTTAACTGCCTGTGTTTTAGTAAAGTGGATTGATGTTTTCATTTCCCATCCTGCTCCAAGATTTGCCAGGATTGCCTGGGTAGTACAGACCTTTTCATGAGATGAATCCAGGTTTGGTGGTCAATTGTAGGTTGTCTTAGGTTGGGGAATTAGGGGATGAGGCTTTTTCTTTCTAAAGATTTTCTTTGTAGCATGTTAACGTTAATTTTCTTAAAGTAACATATTCCAAAAAAGAAAGCATTTGAAAACTACCACTAGTTGACTACCAATTTCTCTTCTGTTAGAAGTTAAGTGTTAACTTCCAGATTGAGAGAGTCTTGAGAGTTTCTTTGGTAGTCATGATTTCCTTTTGCTTTTTGGAGAAAAGATAGTGTTTAGGAGTTCCTCTGTACTCTGCTACTTACTCCCACCGTCCCCGCCCTTAATTTGAGAGGTGGCCGGGGAGGGACAGAGGGAGAGACCAAGAGAATCTGAAGCAGGCTCCAGGCTCAGGTCAGAGCCTGGTGCAGGACTCTATCCCATGACCCTGGGATCCTGACCTGAGCCAAATTCAAGAGTCGGATGCCCAGCCAACTGAGCCACCCAGGCTCCCCAACTATTGTATTTTAATTTTCATATTCAGTGAGCTTGTTTTGTTTTGTTATTTTAAAACTCCCATGCCTTAAAGTGAGAAAGGAAAACAATGTATGTACCTGGAGTGTGTACTGTATACGGGTATCTTCATGTATGTTAAATGCACAAAGCAAATCTTACAGCTTACAAGCTTGTAAGAGGCAGAGCTAAATTTGAACCTGGAGCAGTTTTTCTGAGTCCAGAGCATTTTCTGTCTAATTTCATTGAAATTTCATACCTGCTACATAAAACTGAGGGGGAAAAGCACAGGGACCAGATGGGTTCTGTTGCTGAAGGAGACTTTCTTTCTCGTAGCACAGTCTTCAACATCTGTGTCTAATACAAAACATGTCATTTTTCTTTTATCTCTTCCTTGACTGATCTGTGAAATTACATAGCAGCTGCTAACTAAAAATGGACATATTATTGGGAATGAGAGGTGGAAGAGCATTGAAGCTTCTGGATAGAAAAGGAGCTGAATGGAATAGCAGAAGCCTAGAAATACACCATTGTCTTCAAAAGTGATGTTAAGCAGTTTATCTTCCCATCTCAGTGGGGTTATAAGGCATTGTGGACAGCTGGGTCTTGCCTGGGTGGTAGCCCAGGATGGTTCTTGTGGAGCTGATGTATTAGTGAGGTCACTGCTTTATCTTAAGATGGGTAAGGGACATTGACCTACTCAGAATGAAAAAGGGAGCAAGTAGGTGAAATTACATCTTAATTCTGTATTATAAGTTAAGAGGTGATGTTTTTTAATCTTGTACTTTGACTCCTTCTGTTATACAAAATTGGTGAAAGAGAAGCAATTAACCCAAGTCTACAACTTTAAGTTTTTTTCTGTTCTTCCCTTTTTGCTTGCTTTCTTTTGCCCTGTTTTGTCATCAGGCTTAGCATAATTCCTTCTACCATTCCTTCCTTTTTAAATTCTGGTACATATTAATTTTTTTCTTCCTTTTTTTGACATACATGACAGCTTTGCATTTCCACAGAGAAATAACTTATAAGGCTACGTTAAGACTGCGTGCAACTCTAACCCATCCCAATTCCTTTCATCCTTATATAGGAGTTTGCTAGGCCTGGGCAGCTTGGGCATGACCCTGGTTCTGACTCGGGGAGCAGTGAAGAAGGATGGGGAGACTCTCCTGGTCTTTTTACCTTGGCCTCTGCCAGTTTGCTCTGTCTATTGTAGAGTGCAGTAATAGCACTGAGGTGCCCACTCCCATTTAATCCTTACACTGTCCCTTTATTTTTAGCATTTAACATCTTCTAATGTACTGCATAAAATTTACTTACTTGTTTGTTCATTGTCTGTCTTCCCCAGTATTAGAATGTAAGCATTTTATGGGATGGGTTCAGGTGGTGTGGGGGTGGAAGGATAGGTCTCTCCTTCTTTCCTGTATCCCCAGCAACTAACAAATGTAGATAAATGGGTAATTGATGGCTTGATTTGAATGAATAAAAAAACAACAGTAGTTTAACCCAGCCATTAGCCTTAGTTTTGCCATGGATTGGCCTGTTGACATGATCTTCAACCTGCATCCTCTCTGGGTCTGTAAAATGATGGGGAATAAATGGGCCCTACGAGGTCTCATAAAGTCTCAGGAGAGTATCCTTGTTGTCTCTCAGAGAGGTGTTTATTTTAAGAAATTAGGGTTTAAGGAAAAAGTTTTCTCTTTGGAAAATATTGGCTGTTATTCCTGACTTACCTTCTCACCTAAAAAAATTGAGGGAGTAACTTTATACCTGGTAATTGGATCATTTAGGCTTCTGGCTATAATTAATATAAACTTAATATTTTCCTATTCAAAGAAAAAACCTTTTAACCTAAAACTCAAAAAATAATTGTTACATATTTCCATTCTTGGTGTATGACTCTGCTAGGGAATATGGGATTCAGATATATATGTATTTTGTCTAAGTCTTTAAGAGCTTAACATTAGTTAATAAGCAACAAATTGGGGCGCCTGGGTGGCTCAGTCACTTGAGCGTCTGACTCTTGATTTCCACTTAGGTCGTGATCTCACTATATGTGAGATCAAGCCCCACATAGGGTTTCTGCGCTGACATAGCGAAGCCTACCTGGGATTATCCCTCTTCCCTTCCGCCACTCACACTCTCTCTCACTCTCTCAAAATAAACTGAAACAATAACAACAACAAATTGAGGCAACAATAAATAAAATGAATGTTTTGACCTAAGGTTCTGCTCTGGAAATGAGATTCAGATACACAGAACGTAAGACAATCACAATACTTTAGGACCTCTGGTAATGTGGATAGAGCAAGTAGGGCTCAGTTAACCAGGGACATTTTCTTGGAGATGGGATTTGGATCTGACAAGGTCTTTGAAAGGATGAATGACAGGAGTACTTGGGTGGCAAGGTTGGTTAAGTATCCAACATCAGCTCAGTCATGATCTCACGGCTTGTGAGCTTGAGCCCCTCGTTGGGCTCTCTGCTGACAGCTCAGAGCCTGGAGCCTACTTTGGATTCTGTTCTCCCCCTCTCTCTGCTCCTCCCCCATTCACTCTCTGTCTCTCTCAAAAATAAACAAAAAAAAGGATGAATGACATTTTGGATAGATAAATATTTTTTAAAGGCAAGAACCAGTATGAACAAAGGACATAAGAACAGGTAGTATTGTAATCTTTAATTGCATTTGTTTACTTGTAACTATATTGTAATAACCCCCACCTCTCAGTGATAACAACTTCGTATACATTCAGACATTTTCTGGGGGATAGAGATTGGCATAATTGTAACCAGGGCTTTTAAGCAGGGAAGATATTGAATGCAGTATTTTGAGAATGGAAGTGTGCAAGATAGCTTTCTCTTGCAAATAGTTTATGAAATCTGTTTTATGCTTGTGATTGAGACAAAGTACTTTGCGGCAGAAATTCTTATAGCTAGAATAACTTCATTTTGAAGTCTAGGGCACATGTTTCTTGTTTATTATTAGTTAATGACCTTTCTCCCCTTTTCTGTGGAGTTTCCACTTCACTTTCTACATGGGCGGGTCATAGTCTTATTCCAGGATAGGTAAATGCTGTTTCTCTTCCCTTTGGGCGGGGCCAGGAGGGTGTTGTAACACTTATTTTTCATATTTATTTTTTAAATTGTGGGGTGTGTTTTTTGATGTGTGTGTGTGTGTGTGTGTGTGTGTGTGTGTGTGTGTGTGTGTGTGTGTTTGGACTGAGGTAGAATTCCATTGTCCTTTCTTATTTATTTTTGAGAGAGCAAGAGACAGAGCATGAGCTGGGGAGGGGCAGAGAGAGAGAGAGAGACACACACACACACAGAATCCAAAGCAGGCTCCAGGCTCTGAGCTGTCGGCACAGAACCCGACTCAGGGCTCGAACCCACAGACTGTGAGATCATGACCTGAACCAAAGTTGGACGCTTAACTGACTGAGCCACTCAGGTGCCCCCATTGTCCTTTCTTAATGTCAGCCCTCCCCCTACCCCATTTCATCTCTTTGCATCCCCTATTTCATAGAGATTTTTGAGTTAGACAGGAAAGGGATCCATCCCTTGGATGGATCATGTGGTTCACTGGCCTATAAGAGCTTGTGTCATAATGGCTAGGGAGCTCAAATCAATAGTCAAAATCTCTAGGCCCTAAAATCTGTATTTTAGAATGTTTACTGGGGGACCCTGATGCTGAGTCAAGACTGATCAACTCTAGTGTGTTTCAATTTAGAACTTGCTTTAGGATTTACCAGTGGAGTTTTTTAAAACTGTAGAATACCCATCCCTAACCCCAGGGACTCTGAGTAGATTTGATGATGAAACTGGGCAAGTATTAGCTTGATGAGTTTCCCCAGGTGATTCTAATACAAAATTACCTTTAAGAGATACTTATCAGTCCGCCCTCCTTATTTTCTGGATCAGAGAAGGAGAACCAAAGACTTAAAGCCCTCCTTACTTTCATCTCAGTCTTTCTGTTACACAGTATCAGAACTTGATTTTGGTTACCTCTATTTGAGTTCATGGGGAGATTCATGTGTGTGGCTTTTTGTTTGTTTTTCACAGCAAGCTCATTTCTGCCTTTACCAAGCTGGGCCCTTGCTGACTATGGATAGGATTTGTGGAGTCGTTTTAAATTTCTTTTTACATTTTTTATTTCCTGGGATGAACATAAGATCTGATTTTGAAATTGTGGAGCAGGAACCCAATCTGGGGTGATTTTTATGCATATGAGAAACAGGTGCCTTTGGAACAGTTTTTTGTTTTTTAAGTTCTTGGTTTGTAATATAGGGACTGGACCGTTCACCTTTGTAGTAGTTTTGGCTGCTCAAATAGTTGGCTTACTTATCACTTATATTTGTAGCACTTACAGTAATGCTTAAGCCACATCTGTGATCAGGTTAGCTAGAAAATTACATTGCTGCTGTTCTTATAGTCTAGTCTAGTTAATAATACAGTGTAAAAGTACCATATTTTGATAAAGATTCCAGATCTGAAAGATGTGAATAAAAAGATGCCAAAGGTAACAAGCTGTGTAGGTCACAGCATTCAGGTGGAGAAAAGGGGAAGTTTGGGTCTGACTTAGGCCTTACTCATTGCTACTTACTGCTAGGCTTTTTGTTGAAATAACTCTTGGGAAAGTAAAGCTGCTGGTGTAGTGTATTTTGTTTCAGAACCCTAGGAGAAGAAGGGAAGAGGCCTCTGCTAAACCAGTCCCCTGTCCCTAACCCTTGTCATAGTAACTCCTTCATTAAATCTGTGACTTATAATACCACTCACTTATGCTGCTTTTCTCTCTGTCCTGCAGGGGTTGATAGTTCTTGGGGAGGCACCTCCCCCGGAGCATACACCAACAGACTTATTTCTTCCACTTAGTTCTGAGGTGAAGACGGATCATGGGAATGATAAATTGGTAAGTGTAAAAGACAGAAAAGGGGAGGTGAGTGAGAATTCAGGGGGTAGCATCAGTACACAGTTCATTCTGTATGGCAGGTATCCTGGCATTGGCTGAAGGAAGAGGACTGTGTCCCCTTTTATCACTTTTGACATTTCAAGGTCTGAATTCCTGAGTAGAGCAGCACAGGTCCCCTCCTGCAGCTCTGTAGTTGACCTTGAATTTAAAAGCAGTTCCTAACTCAAGACATTACAGCTAGAGCAAGTAAGGCATCATGGAGTATTACTGAGAGTCGGGAGAGCACGTGGCTCTGCTACCTTTGAAGAGTAAAGACAACCTTTCTGAGAAGGCCACCATAAGATGAAAAGGTGGGACTAGAGGTTTAACTCAAAAGGATGTTGAAAGTGCTCTGAGTTACCCTCTTTAGTTCTGTAATGAGGATGAAGCTGTCGTTTTCTGTAATCTTCTGTATCCTTAGAGCCTAGCTCAGGTCTCCCTCTTCCATGATTTCTTCCTTTATTTCTATTTCTCTCAACATCCAAATTAATTTCTTTAATTTCTGAATCCCCAAGAGCACTTTTTTATTTGTTTCTTTCACTTTTCCCTCCCCTCTTGCCCCAGAAGCTCTTTGGCTTTTATGAATATTAGTATTTCTTGATTTAAGTCATTTGTTAGAAATTCCGAAGTCCCGTGACAGCAGTGTGTTTGGTAGGCTAGAGTGTTGGCTTTTGAAATCGTGCGTTAAACCAGCTAGTCTCTTTGCGTCTGCACATCAACAATTTTTTTCCAAAATGGAAGTATTTGTTGCCTTTTTTTTTTTTTTAATTCCTCCTTCCCTTCAAGAAAACATTTGAAGACTTGTGGTGTAAAAATAATTACATCAGAGGCATTTGTTTTGTTGTGTTGTTCATTTTTGCATTTTCATTTCTGAAATTCACGAAAAAGCCAAAGCAAATTTTTCAACGGTCAAAATAAGTTTTAAGAAGTTAGACAAAATTCTAAAGAAAAATACAGTGTAACTTACTGATGACAGTGAGAATGATGAGTGCTAGAATAGGATTACTCAGGAGCCTACAAAACTTCTAATACCCTGTAAGAATAATAAAGCCATTACCTTTGGAGTCATGTTCTCAACTAAACACAGATCAATTTTAACTCCTCAGTGTTCTGAAAATAGACATCCAACTTAAGGCATCTAAGCCCTAATCCAGTGCAAATAAATAGTAAGTAATACAAATTTAAGTAATTCATCGAGAGTCCTGTGACCCTTTAGTGGACTTGTTAGATGATGTTCAAGTGTTAATACTGAAAGGACTTTCATCTTTTTGCCTATTTCCAACCTGAATGAGTGTTTTTTGATGGACGCAATATATAATCTGCTTTGGTTGTGGGCGTTGTACAGATATTGCAGAAACTAAGTGATTTGGGAGACTGGATGCACGAGTGAGCCTTTTTTGAGCCATGGAGACAAGCAGGAAATGTTCCCTGAGATGGAGTGAGTTTTGTTTTTCTGCCACAGAGTAGAGTATTGAGGTAGAAGAAGGGAGGAACTCCTAGAAAAATGCCCCTTAACGCAAACAGACTTCAATCTGACTGCTTACTAAAGGCAGTTTGAAAGGTAAGAGTAGGCAGAAGAGAGAAACCAAAGGGCCTCTGGCTTTGCATCTGCAGGTGCTGATAAAGTCAACTGCTGCACTAATAAATTCTGATATGAAATAAAAAGCCTTCTGAACAAAAAAGGGTGTGTTCCTGGAAAGGGGGATTGTCTAAAGCTATTGAGAGTTCTCCCATGTTCTAAAACATGCCCTTTCCTTCTTTCTCCTCCCACTCACTCTCTTGAATAATTAGTAGTCCCCTTTCCCCCAATTAAGAATTAAACAGTGAATAGAGCTAACTTGGAACCTATGCCTGTTACTAGGTAGGAAGAACACAGTTAAAAATTACCAAAGAAAGTCAACAAAATTTCTGACAAAATATTCTCACAGGGCCTCCTCTGTCCCGTTGGTACAGGGTTTTTTGGACTCAACTAGATAGCCACCATCTCCTTAGCTTTCATATTGTCAGAGGATGGAGGTCATAGCTGCCAAGTAGCTAGAAACTGAGGGAGGAAATAGTGGCAGAGAGGGACTCATGGGGGCGGAGGGCTTAGTTCCACATTCTGTGTAAGTAACTCTCACGTCCTTCAACTGACTTAACCCCTGATCCACAGAGTTCCGTAGAGTTTAGATAGAGCCAAGTAGAAAGCAGCAGTTGGTAGGCTGAAAGAGCAGAGTAGAGAATGTAGTCATTGCCCGCTGCAGCAAAGAACAGAATTTGGAGTTTGAATTCCAGCAAGACTTGATAAATACCTTCGACTAGGGCCTTATACTGAAACCAAAGAAGACTCATGATTTAGGAGTTAAAGACTTTCCCAGGACTAAGGAACTCACCCACCATAGGATTAAGAAATCCCAAATAAACCCTGATAGGTTTCTGTGAAAGCCTGAAACTAGTTACACAAAATCAAGGTTCATTTGATATGTAACCAATTAGAAATTTGCCTACTAGAGCAGAAATCAACATGCTTCTGGGAAATTTAACTGAATTCAGAGTAACATATCATATACAATAAACAGGAAACTGTGTTCGGTATCATGCAAGAAGATGATAGAAACTGATCCTGAAATGGCTCATAGTAGAATTAAATAGAAATATGTTTGAAGGAGTGCCTGGGTGGCTCAGTCAGTTAAGCCTCTGACTTCGGTGCAGGTCATGATCTCACATTTCGTGGGTTCAAGCCTCACATGGGGCTCTGCGCTCACACAGCACAGAGCCTGCTTCAGATCCTGTCTCCCTCTCTCTCTGTCTGTCCCTCCCCAACTCTCTCTCTCTCTCTCTCTCTCTCTCTCTCAAATAAAAACATTTAATAAAACTTATAGAAATATATTTGAAGATTTAAAGTAAAAGGTAGCAAAAACATGGGGAAATATCAGCAAAGAGGTGAAAACAAAAAAAAAAAAAAATCACGTGGAACTTGTAGAACATAAAATTGTGGAATTGAAAAGTACAGTATCCGAGTAAAAAATTTACTGGTATACTAAACAGCAGATTGAAAACTTACACAAGAAGGGATCCGTACACATAACAGATCAGTGGGAATTATCCAACCAGAAGACAGAAAAACTGAACATAGAGCTGCTCAGAGATGAACATAGTGCTGGGGGAACAGTAAGTATGTATAATTCGAGTTCCAGAGGAGGTAGGGGGGCTGGAGCTGATGAAATAATGACTGGATATTCAAATGAAAAAAATTTACAGATTGAAGAAACTCCAAAAATAGTAAGCAGGAGAAATACAACATGGTGAAAATGAATGCTGAAGAAAATCTTGCATGTAGCCAGAGGGACAAAAGATGCATTCCATATAAGTGAACATTGGTAATGTTTGGTGACTTCTTTTCTGAAACAGTGGAGGACAGAAAATAGTGGAATGGGATCATTAAAATAGGGAGCGGTGCCAAAAAAAGTCTTTAAAAATAAAGGTGAAATAAAGTCATTTTTAGATGAGATTGAGAAAAATCTGTTGGCAGAGTATGTGCACTGAAAGAAATGTTAGAGAACTTTCTTTAGGATGAAAGTGAATAATACCAGTTGGAAACTCAGATCAATGGGGAAGAAAAGCAGGGGAAGATCTATCTACTTTATGAACAGTAAGCATAAGAAAGCTACTGTGTGTGTATTAATATTAGCAAATCGTTTTTAAGACAGGAATACCAGAGATACAATTCTCAGACAGTTACCAGAGATAAAGAAGGACATTTTAGATAATGGGATCATTTCACCAAGGAGACAGAAGAGTCATAAAGGTGGATGCCTCAAATACATGAAGCATAAAATATATGCAAATTAAAGGGATAGACAAATCCATAATTATATTTCAAAATTTTCACACTTGTAACTCAGTAATTGACAGAATTACTAAACAACAAATGTGAGTGTAAAAGATCCAGACAACACTGCCAACTTGACCTGACTGATGTTCGTAAAACTCTACCTCCCCCTGCCACCCTCCCCAACACCCACACTTCCCTTCTTGTGCAAAGTAGGAATAATACTGCAGGTCCAGATCCCTTTATCTGCATCTCCAAACTCCAAAGATCTGTGAGAAGCAGAAGTGGTTCTCCCTAAGGTCTCCATCAGGTCATTTGTTGACAAAATTTGACCTGAAGTGATAACTTGATGAGACTTTACATTCTTAATTATGCATACCTTTTGAAGCAGAAATATTAATGTATTTGATTTTTTAAAATTAAAGGACTATTTTGGGGGGCAGCATTTTAAGGTTGATAGCAAAATTGAGCAGAAGATAGAGATGTCTTAATATACCCCCTGCCCCAGCATGGCACGCCTGCTTCGGGTAGTCTCCGTTGTCAATATCCCCCACCAGAGTGGTACGTTTGTTACAGTTGATGAACCTGCAGTGACATATCACAGTCACCCAAGGTCCATAGTTTACATTACAATTCACTCTTTGGGTTCACACACTCTTTGGCTTTGGATTTATATTTAATTTTGAAGCACTTACCCAGAACATACAATGTGTGACTTTTTAAAAGTCTGTGTAAATTTCCCTAACACATCTGCCCTCAAGGGCCTTAGGTAGGAGTGGCTCTGTTTCTGTACCTCTTTGGTGGAGTTGTTGATAATTAAGTATTGAGGAAGTACAATGTGCTTCTAACAGTGTTTGGTCCATAATAAACGGTTGGTAAAAAGCTTGCTGTTCCAGGCTGTGCTGTGTGTCTAGAAAACACCTATTAGCATAACCAGGTATCTTCCCTTGAGGGCTGCATGGTGGTACAACAGACCTATAACCGAGGAGTCTGGGGGGCAAGAATTCTCACTTCTAAGGGAGGTCGGGAAAGGTAATAGAGAAGGATGTACTGTATTTGCCCTGAGTCCTTGTACATTTGCTGAAGGATGGTATTGAGAGTGAGTTTTTACAGGGAGGGTACTGCATGTAGGATATGAAAGAGGTTTGAGAGAGCCTGGTGTGATAGAGGAACTACAGATACTTTTCTTTGATGGACTGTTGGATGATGGGGCCAATTCATGATGGATTTTGTATTTATCTTAGTGAACTGTATACTTTATCCTGTAGGTGACAGGAAGCTGTAGATTGATGCCACATTTGGGTATGAATGAAATTTGCTTTATTAATGCTGGATAAACTTTTCTTCATTCTTTTTTTAAACTTTAAAAAAAAGATTTTAAACTTACAGAAAAGTTACAGAAGTAGCACACAGTCTCCACATATCCTTTACCCAGCTTCCCATAGTGTTGTTAACTTGAACTACCATTGTACAAAGACCAAAACCTGGAATTAACATTGACAGAGTACTATTCAGATTTTATTCAAATTTCACTTGTTTTCTCACTAATGTTTTTGGCAGGGGGAGCAGGAGGAGAGGGTCCACAATCATAACTGCATTTAGTTGTCCTGTCTCTTTAAATCTCCTCTTAGTCTGTGATTGTTCCTCAGTCTTTGTCGTCTTTCATGGCCTTAATACAGAAATACTGGTCTGTTATTTCGTGTAATATTCCCTCAGTTAGAGTCATCTGACGTTTTCTCATTATTAGAGCTTGCGCACTTGTAAGGAACACCGCAGAAGTGCTACTGTGCCCTTCTCAGTGCACCATATTGGGGGTACATGATGTTGGTTGGTGATACCTTTTTTCACTTGGTTGAGGTGGTGCCTACCAGCCTTCCCCACTGTTAAGTCAGTATGTTTCCCTTTGTAATGAATGTATCTCCTAGGGAGTTACTATGCAATATTCTGTTGCTCATTATACTTTATTCCACAATTTTATCATCCACCAGTGGGTTTTGCCCACAACAGTTATTACTGTGGTGTTTACTAAATGGTGATTTTTCTGTTTTCTACATTTGTTAATTGGAATTCTGTTAGGAAGAGCTGTCTTTTCTCCCTCATTTATTTAGGTATTTATTCCGTCATTCAGTAATGTTTATATCAGAATAGGTTCATTTCATTTTATGGATTATAATCTGTTCCTATTTATGATTCATTCATGCTCAATTTTTGGTACCAGGCCTCTTTCATATTGTTTCCTGTGTCTTTTCAGCATGCTCCCCTCGGTTATTGAGTATTCACTTTCAGGCACCAGAAGACATTCTGAACTCATCCTGTATTTTACCTGCTCCAGCCCTGGTTCTTTTTATTGGACAACAGTGTTTAGAAACCAAGATCTGAGTACTAGTTGTGCTCATTGCTACTTGGTGTCATTGCGTCTGGGACTTCCCAACAGCCAAAGCTGGGAAATACACGTGTGCTAAAGCATGCATGCATACACATTTATCAGTGTTTATTTACCCATTTGTATATACGTTAAAAACTGTAAGTGCATATTAATACCAGTCCAACACCACAGCCTTCCTCATTGATACTCATTTTTATCACAGAAAGTAGTTTCATAGTTGCCATCTCTATCCTTGTGAGAAATGTATTTATTAAACAGAGTGCAATATTGTGTACAATGTCTTTGCCCTATAATACGCAGTCAAAATACTATTTCCTGAAGTTATACTTAAATTAGTTTTTTTTCCTTATCCTTTTAGTGTGAGATGTAATTGTTTTGTAATGCAGTTAAGTTTTTGTTACCTCTTTAGAGTTATTCTAATACTGGTATTCCATGTTTTCTCTCCCAACACAATAATTGATCTTTATTATTATTTTTGAGTATGTGAAGCATTACTATAGTTCTAAGAATCCAAGCTGTACAAAAGACCATCATTCCTACTGCCTTGTTCCCATTTTCCCATTCATTCCATTCTGTTCCCACTTCCTTTAGGTGGCCATTTTCATTAGTTTTTGGATTACCTTTCTTTTGTGCAAATGAGCAGGTAACAAGTATATTTTCTTATATACCTGTTTTTCTTCCAGGAAAGGTAATTACTGGGTGAATATTTGAAATTGAAGTTCTCTTGTTTGTTTTAGCAAAATATTGCTTCTGTGGCTTTTGACAGATGACTTCATTATTTGTTTCAATTTGTAAAATAAGCCTTGTTCTGTTACCCTTTCCTTCCTTCGTGGAGTGACAGTGATAAGTCAGAGGATAAATGCTTTCTCAGAAGAAAGGCATGCTAAACATGTAAACTATTGCTATTTCTTTTTAAACAGTTCAAGGTATTATCTTCCTACCATTGGTTAAGCAAGAACAACTTCTTTTTTTGTTGTTGTTTGAAGTTTTGCAGTCACCAGGTTTAATGAATAGTGCATTGGCCCAACAAGGGTTTTGAGATAGAGAATAAAGGGGTAGATACTGGCTGGGGAATATTTCTCTACCATATATATTTTTTTAATGACTAATTAGGACTATTAAGATAAATTGGACTGTGGATAAATAAGTTGAATAATAAGAATTTATGACTGCTTTTGCAGTTACTTTATTTCTTTAGATTCCAGCTGCCTGTTTTCAGTGGTGTAGGTAAATATAAATCTTAGGCATTATGCTGGTTGAAATTTTTCAAAGTAAGTAAGTCTTGGGCGCCATGCTGGCTCTGTCGGAAGAGCGTGTGACTCTTAATTTCAGGGTCGTGAGTTCGAGCCCCACATTGAGTGTAGAGGTAACATACTTATATCCATACATATATAAAATACAAACATATTTATATATGTACATATATAAAATGCAAACTTAAAAAATAATTCAAAATTATTTTCATACAATTGTATATATTTTAACCTCAGTATAGAGGCATAGGAAAGTGAGGCACAAAATAGTCCCATTTTATATATGCAAAAATGGAAGCCTAGCTAACTAACTTGATGGAAGTGGAATTTTCAGAAGATTCCGCTCCCTATTTAGCACAATTTCCTGGCCATGTTGCTAGTTCATGGAAATGACTGGTACACTGTTTACGGGCCAGCAATATTTTGGTGATTTTAAGCAAGATTATGTTGAGTATCATTGAGATGAGCTTGAAACATGAACTAATTCATATAAAGTCAAAAAGTAATTTATTTTGATCCAGGAATAAAAGTTGAATTCTTTTCCATATACCTAGCCCTTTCAGTCAGGGAAGAAATCACTTCTAACCTTCCTTGCTACTTTTAACTCCCAAAAAGTCACCCCCTGAACCTCTGCTTTTGGGAGAAGGGAAATTAACAGAAATTCTCTACACTGCAGCTTTTCTGCTCTCTTCTTTCTGGCTGTGGGATGTATGTACCACATAAAATTCAAGAAAGCTCAGTAATAACTCCTGCTTTCTGGATAGGAGAGCCTTTAAATTCTTTGATCCTTTTTACAGTTTCTCGTTGGAAAACAGATATGAGTCATGTGTTAGTTTCCTGAAAATACTAATGATGTAAACCACTGCAGTAGTAGTGATCAAGCTTAAATTAGTATGTGGGTTTAATATTTGTAAAGTGTTTATTAATGTATCTCCACTCTCTGTCTTTGCAGCCTTTTGGACTGCAGGATAGAGAATGTTTACTTTTACTTAAGGCGGTGTGAAGATATTTAAGAAGCTTTAAGTAAATTTACGTGTGTTGTGAGCTGTGGTTTTCTTTTTCCAGATGGAATGCTGTTGGAGGATGGGGTTAATATTTTAAGCGCTTTACATTTGGGAATGAATGATGAACCTAGTTGCCCCAGTGCCCTGCTTTTGGATTTCAGTGTGATTATAGAATATCCCACGGTCCTCTGATTATTCAGTGCCTGCTTGTGTGATTGGGACTGGAACCTAGGCACATTTCCCTCTGTGAGGTTCATGCTCTTGACTGCTTGCTGTGTGCTGCCTTATCTGTGACAAACATTTCTGTGCTAAATCATGTTTTCTCTGTTGCCTTCAGTTTTAATTTGGGGACTGAATTGCCCCCAAATCAGTAAAATTCACACTGAAGATTTATGGCATTTAAGTATATATATGTATATGTATACGTAGGCATGAAAAAATAGGCTGTTTGCAGCAGTTATCTGTAGGTCATGTGATTATTGATGACTTGTGCTTTTTCTTCAGATTTTTTTTTTTATTTAAAAAAAATTTTTAACGTTTATTTATTTTTGAGACAGAGAGAGAGCATGAACAGGGGAGGGGCAGAGAGAGAGGGAGACACAGAATCTGAAACAGGCTCCAGGCTCTGAGCTGTCAGCACAGAGCCCGACGCGGGGCTTGAACTCAACGGACCGTGAGATCATGACCTGGGCTGAAGTCGGACGCATAACCGACCAAGCCACCCAGGCGCCCCCAGATTTTTATAAGAAAGATAAATTTGTTTTGGGACCCCTGGGTGGCTCAGTTGGTTAGGCATCTGACTCTTGATTTTGGTTCATCTCACGATCCCATGGTTGTGGAACCTGCTTGGGATTCTCTCCTCCCTCCTGACCCTTAGTTGAAGACTCTTGTTACTATGTAATTATTTTGCCAAGCTTCTGTTCCATGGAATCATGGAACTTACTATTAGTCTGTAATCATGGAACTTACTATTAGTCTGTAAGTAGGCACTTACTATTAGTCTGTTAAAATATTTTGGTTCCTTACCCTTCTTCACCCCAAAGCAAAAGCCAGTTCTCCTAGTTAATTTTCCTTTTTCCTCATTCATACGAGTTTTTTTAGTTGATATCAGAAATTTTAGATGTTTCATTTAAGTGATGAAATGGTGCTGCTTTTCATTCTGGATACTGTTGGTTAAATGTTATAATGTATTTTTAACTTTCTTCTCCTTATTTAGATCGAGTCTGTTTCTCAGCCCCTGGAAAACCATGGTGCCTCTGGTCATTCAGAGTCATTGTCTACTAAATCATGTGGAGCATTGAGACCTGTCAATGGCGTTATTAACACGTAAGTTTTGTGTCTACTTCCTGTGCTCAGTAGGCTCGTAAATGATGAATTTGGGACTCTTAGTTATCCCTAGCCAGGACTAACCCTGGTTTAAAGTCAGAAACTTTATTGCTTAATAATACTGTGCGTGCATCTTACAGTAGCAAGTATATTTTAATTAGCATATTAATGTGTTTCCCTTTTACTTACTGTAGCCTAAAATTAACTCACCATGGAGAAAAAAGAAAAGGTCCTACAGTTATTGTGAGTCGTTATGGTTGGTCCTAGTCTTGGTAGAATTCTTCAGAAGCATGTACATAAAATCTTTTACTCTAGGACAGATTAGATCCCTAAAGGCTGTGTTTGTAAATCTGTATTTATGAAAGTTGAAGGAATCCCTCTACAAGTGAACAATGTGTATACATCCCTGAAAGTCGAATTTTATAGAAGAACTATTTCTTAGGTAGCCCATTAACATTTGCAGGATTAATCATTTTCTTACCACTTGCAGTTTTCTACAGCTAATTCTTCATTCATGCTTCTGTTGTAGAAGAGAACTTTATCACTTGGAACCTGAATTTGTCACTTACTGACTTACACTATTCAGACATGATGTTGTTGTCCACCAAGAGTCTTAAAGATCAGCACAGACACTGCATGCACGTGCACATGCACACATACACACTCACTCACTCACTTAGATTAGCAGATACCAGCATCAAGAAGTGATGTGCATCTGTCCTAGAACTTGTTTGTGTCTGTGAACATGTGTAAGCAGAGGAGGTTGAAACGGTATCAAAGGCTTTGTTTCCTTGTCTTCTGAGACGTGAATATTCTTCCTTCCCATTGTATAGTCTTCAGCCTATCTTGGCAGACCACATTCCAGGTGACATCTCTGATGCTGAGGAACAATTACAAAAAAAGCAAAGACTGAATCTAGTTTCTTCATCAACTGATGGCACCTGTGTGGCAGCCCGAACACGTCCTGTACTGAGCTGTAAGAAACGAAGGCTTGTTCGACCCAACAACATCGTTCCTCTTTCCAGGAAGGTTAGTACTGTTGAGACTTGGTCATTGTTAAACAGTGAGCCAGATGCTCAGATAGAATTATTAGTCTTTTGCCAACTTTGGTTCATTTAACTAGTGTTTTCCAAACTTCACTAACCACCCAAGTTTCCTGGGGAACTTGACAAAGTACTGGGTTCTGAAGTTGGGCCTGGGACCCTTGTTCTCAGAAAAACAACTCCTAGATGGTTCTTCAGCCAGATTTGGAAACCACTGACTTGAACTTATTAATAGAAATGGGGAAGAAGAGGTTTAAGTGCTGCCATCAACACTTTGAAGGAGGGTAACGTGCTTCCTACTTGTCCTGTTATCACTGAAAATGGCATGCTTTCCTTTCAAATAAGAGTCTCTCTTAAAATTTTTACATTAATGTGACTAAATGAATGGAGGTCAGTTAACAAGTGTAGGAAACTTTTGATTGCTGCCTCTTCAAATAGCACAGTTGGACTTTATTCCAAAACTGATGAAATAATACTTCAGTAAAATTCATACCATGCAGTGGTTAAGAGCATTACCTTTAAAGAGGATAAACTTGGGTTTGAATCATGACACTGCTACTTAATAGCTTTGTGATTTGGAGCACGTTTACCACCCCCACACTCCTCTCCCCGTATCCTTCCCTTCGCCCCAGGCCTCAGTGACCTCTTCGGGTGGTTTGAGGGTTAAATGAAACGTATGTAACTTGCTCATTGGGATGTCTGGCTGATACGTTCCTGGTACAGAGTGGCTGTTACTGTTAGCACTTGTGTTCACTCATTCAACAAATATTATTGAGCTCCTACAGTGAGCGGGGTCTGTTCTATGCTCTGGGAATACAACACTAAACAAAAACAGATAAAAATGTTTGCCCTCCTGAAATACTCGAGTGGGTAGAGACAGAAAATAATAAATTAGGTATAATGGTAAGTCCTATAGCGTTAAGTGCTGGGGAGAAAAATGCAACAGATGAAGGGAAACAGGGACTGCCCGGGAGCTCCGATGGAATGGGGCCTGGAGGCCTTGCCAGGGGAAGGAAGAGACGGGGAAGGAGTGACTGGTGAAGTGGAAGGAAACTGAAGGGAGTAAGGCACATGGAAGACGAATGAAGAACGTGGGTCAGTGAGGAACAAGCGGTGGTGTGTGAGGTGCCGCAGGCAGGCCCAGCACAGGAAAGGTGTGAAGTGACCATCGTGTATGGCAGGGTTAGGGTTGTTCGAGGTCCGTGTGAGCTGTCTTGCTAACGGGAGGAGAGCGAAATTCTGCTTGGAGTGGAATGGGTTCAGGAGAGAAAGGGGGCAAGGAGTTGAGATGTATTCAAAGCATTAAAGAGAACTGAATGCTTCAGTTGAGAAACATTCTAGATAACTCAATATTGCTGTATAGGAGAGCGGAGAAATCACTTATTTGAAGGGAAATGTTAAGATAGAGCTAACTATTACAATACACTTGCTGATGAGAAAAGTGATAACATAAGAAGAGGGGAAAGAATTGTCAGAACCATTACTGGTTAGACAGTGGATTATCGGTGCTTGGCTTGTTTTGTTATAGTGTGCAGTTGGACCCGATAACCTTGCCTTTATCTTTTTTGTTTGTTTTTAAGGAAAGCACAGTAAAAATTAACTATCAGATTGTACCATTTTTCTCATGTCTGTTCCTTAGAATGCCTGCATTACCAAAATAACAGAAAAGAGAAGAGTATTTGGCAAGTTTCTCACATTGACATTTGTGGTCTCAATTTTTTATGAATAGACCTATAAGTCAGAATTTTTTTCTCAGAGGTTAAAGAGTTGATATTGAGAAAGCAAGAAAACTGTATATTACTGTCAAATGTAGGAAAGTCGTTTTTGATCATGTCTCTATGCTTTTGACAACAAAAAAACCTCAACCAAACAAAAACAAAAAAATCTCAAGGGGTAGTAGTGTCCTTTCTCGGGGCAGTTTGCTAGTCTCACTGTGTCATGACATCTAGGGATTTTGTAAAAATTTTCTGTGGTGTAGGGTGGCCTCCTGGATTCTTTTTTATCTGTATGGTAGCAAACCTTCCCTGCTCTTGACAATAGCTTCTTCTGGTCCATGCCTAAAATCAAATGTACTTGTGAAGAGACATACAAAGCATACTGAAAGACCCTTTGATTCCAGCACCAGTTTCTATTTCTTCTTCTTCCTCCTCCTCCTCCTCTTCCTCCTCCTCCTCCTCTTCCTCCTCCTCCTCCTCCTTCTTTTTTAGTGTTTATTTTTGAGACACAGCATGAGTGGGGGAGGGGCAGAGAGGGAGACCCAGAATCCAAAGCAGGCTCTAGCTGTCAGCACAGAGCCTGATGCGGGACTTGAACTATGAGATCATGACCTGAGCAGAAGTCAGATGTTTAACCGACTGAGCCACCCAGATGCCCCCAAGCGTCGGTTTCTAAAACACAGTCATCCTGACCTGCAAAAGTAAGCTACATGGTAAATAAGACAAAAGAAACCAATTGAGTTCAGGAAATAAACCATTTGCTGGTTGTAGCAGAAATACTGGAGTTCTGCCAGTGTTGGAGGCAAAGGCCATTCTGTCTTGATTGCTCACTATGTCTTCTTGCTTGGTGATATTTGCTGTTGAGCAGGCATCTTGTCTTTTATCATTTTGAGGTGCTGGATTTGCCAAGCAAATTTATTCAGCACTGTGTTGAATCCCCAGTGTGCTCCAGGTATTCTTGTGGTTTCACTGGTGAACAAAGTGCTTGCCTTCATGGAGCTTACTTTCTAATGACAGAGCCTAGATAGCAAAGAAGGTAACAGATAAGCCATTCTCTGATATTATTAAACAGCATTGAGTTCATACTTTAATAAGATTTGCTTCCAAGTTTTTTTAAAAAGAATTTTAATAAAACAGGAACTACATCTCTCTGGATTAACTCAAATTACCCTTGTTATTGCCCTTCCCACCACATTTCTACCTACGCAGGATAGATGGTTACTAGTATATCTACATGTAGAGAATGTAAAAAACATATGTTTAATGTCAATGTTACTGGCTTATCTACATATTTTAAATTATCTCTAGTGCACGCTAGAACCAAATATAAAACTCACTTTAGGGAACTCATTCAGTTTTACAGAGCAGTCATCTTAGTTGAATCACAGCTGGAATTTTATTCTATCAAGTTTTACCAGCATTTCTGAAATTACAATATATCTTATAGCTGAGATGTACTTTTAGTGTAGTAGCACATTTCTTTTTGCCTCTAAAAGTATGTTTTTATGTCATTAGTATCTTAAATTCAGTGACTACAACAAAGGATTTAGTAAGATGAACTTGTTGGAAATAAACAGGATTGAAATCTGTCAGTAAATAATGAAAGGCTTTAAATGACGAAACTGTTGACTTTAGGTTAGAGTTTTGAGCAGTGAAGTATCATAAGCTGTTTTTTTTTGTAAAAGATAAATGTACAGATAGGTTATGTTTGGAGTAGATTGGCGATAAGAGAGACTGGAGTCTGAAAGAAAGAAAGACTAGTGACAATAGTAATCCTAGTGGAAGTAATAGTCTGAAGGCTCCAAAGCTCTCAGGATGCAATAGTTTTGAAAACTAGTCCTAAGGAAGAATCACTAGGGTGTTGTGAGTATCAGAGTTGGGAGGGCAGAGAGCTTTGAGATTGGGAGCGTGGGGTTATCTTCCATGGAAATCTGTAAAGCCTGGGGAGAATGTGGAGGTTATTTCCTATTGTTGTGATTTTATTGTAATATTAGTACATATGATAACAAGTTGCCCTTAATTGCTATTTATTATGTATTTCATCACTTTTGGGGGTCTGGTATGGTAGATGTTAGCAATTAGGCCAGTGAAGAAACACTCAAGTGACAAATTTTTATAACCTGTTATCACTATGTTTATTTCCTATCCTGCTGCTTCTATGAGGTATAGTTACAGCTCAATCTAAAACATTAGTTTCTAATATACTGAAATTTCAAATCAGTAAAAGTTTTAAAAGAAATGTGGGGCCAATATAGGGTTGCTTTTTATTTTGTTAGGTAAAGTTATTTTGTATATTAAGTATATCACAGTACAGATACTATTTTTTTAATGCTTATTTACTTATTTTGAGAGAGCTTGTGCACATGAGCTGGGGAGAGGGAGGGGGGAGACAGAGAGACAGAGACAGAGAGAGAGAGAATGAATCAATCCCAAGCAGGCTCTACACTCAGCATGGAGCTCAATGCAGGGCTCAATCTCATAACAGTGAGATCATGACCTAAGCCGACATCAAGAGTTGGACACTTAACTGACGGAGCCACCCAGGGGTCCCAGTACGAATAGTATTATAAAAGAAAAAAATAACATGCCTTGAGATTTTTGGATTGGCCTTAATAGCATTTCTTTTTAATCTCTTTTTTGAGATCAATACAACTTTTTTTAATTCCAGTATAGCTAACATACAGTGTTATCTTAGTTTCAGGTAAACGATATAGTGATGTAACAATTCCATACATCACCCAGTGGTCATCATGACAAGTACCCTCCTTGATCCCTGTCACCCATTTCACCCATTCCACCACCCACCTCCCCTTCGGTAACCATCAGTTCCGTATAGTTAAGAATCTGTTTCTTGGTGTGTCTCTGGTTTGTTTCTTAAATTCGACATAGGAGTGAAATCATATGGTATTTGTCTTTCTCTGACTCATTTCACTTATTAGGATTATACTCTCTAGCTCCATCCATGTTGTTGCAAATGGCAAGATTTCTTTTTTTTATAGTTGAGTAATATTCCATATGCATGTGTGCGTGTGTGTGTGTGTACTTACCACTTCTTTATCCGTTCATCTGTCAGTGGACATTTGGGCTGCTTCCATAATTTGGCTATTGTAAATAATGCTGCTATAAACATAGGGGTAGCATTTCTTATCAGACGATTTGACAGTGTTCTGGTGTGATTTTGGAATTTTATAGTCTGTTGGAGGATAATTATGTAGGAATGTTTGCTCTGGGTTTTATTTTAAAGTTGGATTCTTTAAAGTGGTCCTCTACC